TGACCTGGCCTCGAACCTAGGTCACTCCGGGTATGAGACCGGAGGGCCAGTACTAAACCAACCGTGCCACGCGACCCACCAAAAGGGTTGTGCGACAAGGATCTAACTAGCTCCATAGACAATACCTATCTAAGATACCGAGGTTTTACACACACTCCCTCAGTGGAAATTGATTTAGAAATTTGAAACCGAAATCGAATTTCTAAATCAATTTCCACCGAGTGCCCACGGGGAGTGTGTAAAACCTCGCTATCATTACTCTTGTCTAAGTAGATAGGTAATGTCTATGGAGCTAGTTAGATCTAAGTTGCAAACTCTTTTTAGTTCATATTATTCATATTTCTCTCACAGATTTGACTCATCAAACTTGCATCGATTAGTTAAGATAAATTTGAGGAAAAGTTAACAACTTTTTAGAAAATTTATACATTTATTATTGAAAGAAATACTACATAGCCAAAATGTAAAGCCAATCTCAGAAATTGATATGCCAATAACACAACATCCGAGTTCATTATAATCCAATACACTAACTATACCACCTTGAATATCCATCTTTTAATTTCAACAAGTAGCTTGTAATTTAAGCAAGTTGTTATTAATTATGAAATTAGAGCAAACAATATTAATACCTAGAATGATTATATGCAATAAGTAAAAGAATTCCCTTTTTCACATGTAATGACTGAAATCATTAAAAAATAATTGTTTCTGTTATTAGTAAATAAATTGCATTACAAAAAATAGTGAAGTACTTAAAAAAAAAACAATGAAAATAATGTCCTTACACGATTACTAAGTTAAATTTAAGATTATCTCCATTAAAAAGTAAATGAGCACATATGAAGAAAATGGACAGAAAAATCAAGCAATTATAAAACTAAAGTAATCTCGCTAAGCAATAACTAAATCAATCAAAACTTATCCTAGAAGATACTTAATTATACACAATTATTCTTACGCTCCACTAGAAATGACTAAACTTCATCACTGTTAAATCACACTTCCGTAGAGCCGAGATCTCTTAAAGGTAATTTATTAATTCCTTACTTTATAAACTAACTTAATATATCCTTACACATAAAATTCAAATCTATATGTATTCAATTATACAAATCAAATCTATAATTATTTCATTATATAATTCTTATTTCCAAAATTAACTTAATCAAATACAATTCTTGGTCTGTTATGTAGCCACACATAAATCTAGAAATAATCCCTAATCCTACTTAATCCCCTTTATCCAAAGCGCATTCCCGTCCAATATGTTCCCTCAACATAAGGCACTAAACCCCTTCAACCGGGCTTACCAAGATGTGCCACAAAAATGACATGGCTACTAGATGCTAATCCGAAATCTAGTCCACAGTTGTCTGTCGTTAAGCGTTTTTTATTCCCGATATGGGAGCCCATCCGGCTACACGTTTAACAGTTATTATGAATATAATATAATTTATTTTCAATAATTTGAAAGATACCTACATCGTGACTTTCCTGTGTCCCAGCAAATTTTGAACACTATTTATCACTTTAAACTATTTCTACCTGCCACCCAAGTAGCAGGTGTGTTGTGATATGTATTGCGATCACTTAGAACTACTCGTTGTTTTCGCAATCGTGACTTCTTTTTTGCTTGTGGTGGTCCGTCACGTGGCGTCACTTTGTCACGAGATGTTTTCAACACTTTGACGTCATGGTGCGCCTCTGTTTTTTATATCTGCGTCTTGTCCTGTTGACCACATTTTTCATGTGGAGTCCGCTCCAGTCCTCGCAATGTTATTCTATTTTTGTTGTCTCGTCCCGGCTTGTTTGTTTCACCCGTTCATGTAGCATCCGCCTCACCCTCGTATCTACGACAGCGTGACCTAGGTTCCAGGCCTGGTCAGGGAGGATTGTTATATATCTATATCAATGCGGCATTGCATCTTGTGTGTGTGTGTGTGTGTGTGTGTGTGTGTGTGTGTGTGTGTGTGTGTGTGTGTGTGTGTGTGTGTGTGTGTGTGTGTATTTGTGTGTGTGTATGTGTATATATATGCATATATATGTATATATACATATGTATATATACATACATATATATACATATATGTTTATATACACATGTATATATACAAATATATACATGTGCATATATATGCAATATATATACATATATATATATATTTTTTCTTTTTTCTTTTCTTTTTCTTTTCTTTTCTTTCTTTTTTTTTCAACTGCCACTTATTCCACCGCAAGAAATCGGCCTTTGAGAAAGGCCGATTCACTATTCATTATTGAGAGGTTATATGGCAGAGTCACCCTTGCCTGATTGGATGCCCTTCCTTATCAACCGCGGTTCGGCGCGCTAACACTTGTGCCACGGCGGTGACTTCCCCTGCGACACCTGCGTTTGTCATTTTCTCGCCGTGAGATCGGGCTCGAGCGAGCAATAAGAGCACACACATTTTTACGACTGCCGCGGCGGGAATTGAATTCGGGGGGGAAAACAAGGGCCGGG